TTTTCAGTTCCCTCCTACAAGTACTGTCTTGAAAGCACAACTTATAAATGGAGATCTTTTTCATTACATAATTGCACTCATGAACAAAACAATGTAGTGCCTACAAGTCCATTCAGTCCTACTGTGTGTTCAGCCAACATGACAAACAAATTTGTTTTCAATTTCAGGAGATAATGCTGCCTGCATCTAATTTGCAATGCCACCTGGAAGTAAGAACAGGTGTTCACATGGCACTGTTACATCTGGAATTGTATTTACATGTCAGAGATGCTAAACATTCATGTGCCCCTTCATGCTTCTCCCACTGTCCCAGAGGACATGTTCCCATGCTGATGATGCTTATTAAAGAAAACGTGTTAAATTAAATTTGTGACTGCACTCCTTGTGAGAGAGAGCGGGGGGAAAGTATGTTTCCTGCTCTGCCTTGCCTGCAGTCTGCCGTCTATTTCATGTTCTAGCAGGTCCTTGTGAGAGAGAGCGGGGGGAAAGTATGTTTCCTGCTCTGCCTTGCCTGCAGTCTGCCATCTATTTCATGTTCTAGCAGGCTTGGATGATGACTCAGCACACGTTTGTTTTAACAACACTTCCACAGCAGATTTGACAGCAGGCAAAGAAAGTATCAATGTGAGATTTTGGTTGCTGAAGCATGAATGGGTAGAGGAGTCTGTAGCGCATCTCGTACATAAATACCTTGCAAAACCAACTACAAGAGTGCCATAGAATCATAGATTTCTAAGGGCTAAAAGAGATCTCCAGAGGTCATCAAGTCCAACCCCCTGCCCAAAGCAGGACTAACCCCAACTAAAGAAAGCCTGTTCTCACTTTCAGCTAATGCCGTCAACAGGAAGCAGGCAGCTTTATTTCCTACAAATACGAACAAACCTTCTTGTCCGAGCAATTGGCTGAAGAAGTAGAACTGAGCAAAGTTGGAGGAACCCAAGTTCTACATTGTTTTGGTCTGAGTGCAGTTCTTCTTGTGCATAATTCTACATGTGTAAATTCCACTTTCACGACAGATTGCATTGCAGTACTTGTATTAGGCGAATTAAAAATGCAATTTCTTTTATTTCTACTGTGCAAATGGTTGTACTAAAAAGAATGTAAAGTGAGTGCTCTAGCTTTTGTGTTCTGTGTTGTAACTGAAAGCAATATACTTGAAAATGTGAAAAACATCCAGAAATACTTCATTATGGTTGAGGAATACAATTAATCACACAGTGAATCATAATTCATTTTTTTTTTAAATCTCGCAATTCACAGTGATTAATTTTTTTGTTCACGTGGCAGCCCTAATAACAACGTATCTTTTATTGGTGGCTCATAACTAGTGGCTAATCGATACTGTTATCGATTGGTTCCCGTACTGATCGTGGGGGTGGATGGCAGATTACTGCTGACTCTGGTGTTCTCGGGCTCAGTGAAAGGGGCATCCCATCCCCCTGTGGCTCTAGGATGGGGTGCATAAGGCCCCATGTGCTTTCTGTGGGTGTCATCAAGGCGGGGGGCAGTCACTGGGACCCACATCCCCATCTGCAGCCAGATGTGACTCTCCATCAGCAGGGAGAATGGAAGATGTAAGGGATTTAAGGATCGACAGGGATACAGCATAGAACAGACTTGCCAGCACAGGAACCAGAAGCAGTCAGCACAATCCATCTTGGTGAAAGGGGAGCCCCGAGCCAAAGGCCCTGACCTCCTCCTGCACCCTAAACTACCCAAAACTAACTCCCCTGCCTAGGAGTCTGGCCCCCAAACCTTTTATTCTGCCTTTTGTTCTCCTTTTTGGGAAAAAGGTGGCACCTGGCCGTATCCTTTCCTGCGCTCAGGTTACTAAGGGTACCGGCGATTGTCGTCTACGGTAGCTTCCCCCATCTAGGTATTAGTGCAGTGCCCTGGGAAACTGAGGCACATACATGGGGTTAGTATAGGAGAGGAGAACTCACATAGGGTTGCCAGATAGTTTCACAAAAAATACCGAACATGGCGGGGGAAAAAAATGGTTGACCAAAAAAAAACCAAACCCCAACTGCACAAAAAAAAAAGTCACTGTGCCTTTAAATCCACACACTCCCCATCCCTGCCCTCCCCCCAGACATGGCAGGGGAAGAATGTCCTAAGCAGCCTTCTGTCCCAGAAGAACAGAAAATATTTTCTGTTTTTTTTACAGGACAGAAGCCGCAAATACCAGACTGTCCGGGCCAATGCCGGACACCTGGCAACCCTATACTCACATGAAACATAGCCAAGCGAGTATAATCCCCACTTTGTCCCAGTGGGGAAGCTGGCACTGACCGTGGGAGGGAAGAGAAAGTGGGACACAGCGGGGGGAGGGGTCTAGCGGGGGGCAGTGGTGGTACAATTGTGAAATCCCAGCTAGACTGTGGCATCGGTTCCTCCACACTGGAGAGCGTCCCTTCCAGGACGGGTTCTGCCACTGCGCAGTGGGTGCATTATCGGAGTGTCAACCTCCTGCCTCTGCTACCTCCACAGGCACCGGGAGACGCACCCCACGACCACGTGCCTGGTGCTGCTGCAGCGAGGGGAGCAGGGGAAGCTAGGGGGGCTGCCCCAGAGGAAGAGCTAGCAGGGCGGGAAGCAGAGATGCTGTCAGCTGTCCCAACGGGGCGGCGCTTCCTGGCTTCTACTGCTTCGTGGTCAGCAAATCAAGGGCAAGACAGCACTGGATTCCCACCACCGGGGCTGCCCCATGTCCCATCCATTGGACGGTGCCAGGCAGCCACCCCCGGGGCCTTCAGCTGCCTCACAGACCCTGGTGTCGCCTCCCCGGAGGCCTGGGGGATGGAATCCAAGAGTCCCCTGGGGGAGGTGATTTTGGACCCCTCGAATGACCTCTGACCCATAGGGGGTGGGAATCTGATTCCCGGTGGATGTGACCTCTGACTCTCGACATGACCTCTGACTCCGGGGAAGGGGAACTGTGACCCAGATGGAGTTGACCTCTGACCCCTGGAGTGAACGTTGATACCTATGGGAAGGGGATTGGTGGCCCCTGTGGAGGTGACCTCTGACCCCTAGGGCAGCATGCCCCGGCGGGCAGGGGCACAGGTCCTGGGTTACTTTTGGGCACCGCCAGCCCCTTGCCCAGGGCAGGTGCAGGGCCCAGGACTGCCCATTGTGGCTGGGGCTCCCTGTGCAGCTCTTACCACGGCTGGGACGTGGCTTCTGGCCCGGCCACAGGGCGTGGCCTCAGTGGGAGGGGAGGAGCCGTGGCGGGGATCC